TATTAATAACATTTCTTTTTTTTGTTATTAACAGTTTGGTATTTTTTTTTATAATGAAAAAAAATTTATTTGCATATGTTTCATACGTAAATAAATAAATGTAGGTAAAATTGGGTGAAATTCAAACTGGAGGCCATGTTTATATTTATGTAACAATTGTACAAGTAACTCGATTAGTATTAAATGTTTATAATTTATTAATAATTAAATAATACACTTTATTTAATTGAATAATTATTTAAAACAATCTAGAAAGTTAAGAGTTTAATTTACTTTTTTATACAAAAAAAAAATCAAATTTAAATTTGTGAGTGATATTTTTATTTATAAAAAATATTTGTAAAGTACGTTGAAAGTTTTCTTTTTTTTTTTTTTGAAGATACCAAGATTTTAGTCCTTGTTTTTGATCCTCGTCTATTTTTTGTCGAGTCAACGAGAACTTGATATTTTATTCAGTGTACTGAATAGACCGTACAAAATATTACATTTGCGTTTACTTCCTACACACTGCAGTTAAGCTTAGATGTATATGTGTGTGAGTGAGGAAAGGCAGAGTCAAACACATGTGATATCTGGCGCATATGCGACGAGATGATCAGGCTTGGTTGCATGAACCCTCCGTTTGATGATTTTATGTTTGGTAATGTCTCCCACAGGACACACCCACGCGTTCCTTCCTACACTCAACAAACGCAGTTCTGATATCGTAATATTCAAATTTTTTTTTTATTTTATCAATAATTTCTATTCATTATTGTTTAATATTTTGTTAAATAAATGTCAAATGTCTTCAAAGTTGTTTTGTTAAGATATTTTATTTTTTTGATATGAAGTTTCAGTTATCAGACAAAATATAAGCTCATACTGTAAAAAAGTTGAATTTTTTCTATGATTATAGTGATTTTTTGGACACCTATTATATAAATATTTTCTATAGTTATTATAAATATGAATAATTAATTTTCAGTAACAAGTTGTAGGTTTTTAGTATATTATTGTTTATTTGATTAATACTAATAAATTATTGCAGATAATATATTACTTTCTATTATTATTATTTATATATTATCTACTTAATAATAATATACTTATTATTATTTATTAATATAATATAATATAATTTTAATGTAATTTTAATATTATTTTAATTTAATATAATGTAATATAATATAATAATATTTTATATATATTATATATTATCGATATTAAAATTGTTTTTTTTTTATATATTAATCAGTGTAATGATCATTTGATTACTTATAGTATATATATAGATATTTTATTGTAAATAATTCATAAAAAAATGTTTAAAAAATATTGACTTGATAAACAGTAGTCTACGGGATATCACATCTTCCGGTGTCGAGTACGAGTTGGTAATTTTCTCCCATCTTCCCACTCCCTCATTCTTTTCCCCCCTTCCTCATTCTCCCCATGTTCTTTCTCCCTTCGTTCGCAATGAAATAATTAAATGAATCCGTCTGTATATTTCTAGTATCTTCCGGTCCAACGATATAATCCTTCCCCTTTTTTCTTTGCGTACTTCGGTACAAAACATTAGAACATTTTGTTAGATTCTTGAAAAATTCTTCGAAAACAAAAAAATTCGAAAGGGTTTAATAGAATTTTCAAGTGAATAGAACTTGAATTGTGGAAAATAAATTATTTTGGTTTGACAACATTGACATTGGAATCTGTTTAACACCCATAAACGAAAGGATATAATATCCCATCCATAACCCACAAAAAGAAGATTCCAATGATTCACAGATACAACTACGTTAATCTATTGTTGGACCTTTTTTTTTTTTACCTTTTTTCGAGAAGACCGAACAAATTTGAACACGATATCGAAAGATATGTAGACGGTTGGAAGAGTACAATTTTTTTTAGGATTATTTACGTAATACACAAGAATATATATCTTAAATATATCAGACTTATCTTAGTTTAAAAATTATGGAAGATATAATAATAATAAGTTAAGATTACATATATATATTATTATATATTATTACTGTATATAAATATATAAATATAATAATATAATAATATAATAATAAAATAAATAAAATAAATATAATAATATATATATTATTACTGTATTATGTATTACTTTATTAATTAATAGTTCAGTAATTGTAATTATACTACAATATAGAACATATAATATATAATAAATATTAATATTAATATTTATTAATATTACAATTATTATAAATATTAATATTAATATTATTACTTTATAATATAATAATAATAATAATAAGATAAAGGGAATGTTCGAAATTTTAACAAACCTCTTCTTGCTGTAATTCTATTTACGAAAAGGTGATAAAAATATTTATATTTTTTATTTGTTTGTTTTATTACGTCATAGTCTTCAAAATATTCTAAATATCTTGAAATTTGATAATATGTTTTGTTTTTCTCTCAAAAATTACAATTTAAATAGCCAATGGTTCTTAATTTATACACACGATGTATATATTCGTCAATAGACAAAATCGTGTTACTTTTCAATGACGAGTATAGACGTCAATAGACAAAACGGTGTCACTTCTTCACGACGAGTATACACGTCACATATCACAGTTAACTGATTAATCGTGAGATTTAATTTTACAAGGTAAAAATGTAAAAGATTTGAGTTTAACTTTGCGAAAGACCGTTGAGAAATATCAATTGGATAAGTTCGATCGTTCGTTTTCTAGCGATTCGTTAAGGGTGCAATCGTATTTAAGGGTGTCCTGGGGTAAAAGACCCCCCAATAACCTTCATTGGGATAGCATCGAGACGACGTATGTCAGTACCTACTACTACTCACTGTACTATATACTGTACTAGGCACTACTGTGCACATATCAAAAGATGGAACGGTACGTGATAGGGGAGAAGATAGCCAACAGCAGCCGGTAGACCGCGTGATTCATGAACGATTGTTCTCATCTATCCCTCTATGTTATATAAGCTTCGTGCTAAAGTAATCGATTTATAGAATATTCCACCCTTCCTTATGTTTTTCTCTTCTATTATTTATATCTTATAGGATAGGTTTAGAATAATGAAATAAATTATGATATTCTTATCCCTTTTTCGAAAGTCAAGTTATAGTAATTGATTAAACTCAGGATAGGGTAAAATAAAAATTTTTTTTTAACCCATTACCAACCACAATACGAACACAATTAAATTCTAAACTATAAACTATAAAAAATAAATATAGTAAATATAATATATAAACTATATAATGATATTTATACTAACTAATATATAATTATTAATTATTATACTAACCTATACACTATACGATATAAATATAATAAATATAATATATAAACTATATAATGATACTTATACTAACTAATATATAATTATTAATTATTATATTAAACTATAAACTATACAATATAAATATAATAAAAATATAAACTATATAATGATGTTTATACTAACCAAATAGAACTATTTTTGCAACAATGGTTTTTTTTTATTTAAATATAAAAATTATTTTATATAATTAATTATTGATTTCAAATAAAATAGCGAGAATTTTTAATATTTTCATGAAGTTGCAGTTATTAAAAAAGTAATTTGAAGATGCGCCCCAATAAAAGGCAATTGACAGTGGATAATGGATCACGTAGTCTTTTTGATTTAATTTGAATTTTTTTTCCAAATTTCTAATAAACATATTTTTTTCAGATAAATATTTAATATCTATGAATTATTTATTTTAGTATAAATAATCAATAAAATTATCAATATAATGATTAGAATTTATAATTGGGTTAACGGAAATTTATTTTAGGGTTAAATATTTATTTTGACTATTTCGTTGAATATTTACAATGTTAATTTTAATTTTCTTTTTTTTTTTTGTTATATTATTGAAAAAAAAGTTGTTGTTGAAAAGTTTCTTTTGGATCTATAAGAATCAATCATAATAAACGTTGACTTTAAATGAAAGAAAAGAAACCGCGAATCTGTGATTTCTTAGTCGACTTCGTGAGTCTTTCGTTGTGCACATGCGGTCAACGAATCATAGTAATTGTCATGCGGGTATCAGCACATATGGGAGAGAACACGTGTTCTTGGTAAAGCATAGAGATGCTGCTGGACTATCGAACTTCCCCCCTTTTGTGTCGACATCTTGCGATCTCATTTAGGTTTATTCATTCACTGTGATATTCTACCTACATTGTACGTATTTGTTATACTGGTCTTCTTTTTGTACAATCCAATCGCATTAACTTCCTTCCATTACGTCGCATTTCGCATGCTAATTTCTTTTATTAAATATATACTTTTTTTTATTTGTTTTTTTTTTTTTATAAATATAATTCAACATAATCCCAATTTTTTGTTATATAAATACAATAATCACATTTATTTTTATATCAATGCATTTATATTGTTAAATATTAATAATGATTTATTGCAATAATTATAGGATTATATAATTATACAAGTTTTGTTATATTATTGTAATTGTAATTTATAATTTTAATAAATATTATATATTTTTGCATATAAAGTAACAATTGTATCGTCAAGTTATACAGAAATTTATTGAAAATCTTTTATTATCCTTGAAATTGAGTAAACGTTAATTGAAAATTTTTTATAAAAATATAACACAATTATTTTATTTCTTAGAATTGTTTTATAATGTACTTGTTTATTTTAATAATAAGTGATAAAATTAATAGTATTTAAAATAATAAAACTTGGTATTTTATACTATTGTTTTATGGTTTAATTTTTACAAAATAAAGATCAAAAGCTAAGGATTTATTATTTACTAATTTTTTATCTTATTTCTGGACTGACAAATTTCTGTATAATCTGACCCTAACATATTGTTATAATAGCAAAATAAAATAAAGCTTATAAATCTAGATATTTAAGCATATTTTTATAAAGTTACAAAGTATTCTAAAAGATTAATTTAACTTTTATTTATTTATTCTAAATAATGATTTTTTTTTTTATTTCAGGTGCGTCCAAAGTTTTGCCGCAGGTAGTAAAAGAAGAAAGGTAAGTGATAATTATCAGCAACTTATGTTTCTATCTACTTTCTATAACATATTTCTAGAAAATGTCTTTAAAGTAATTTAATAAAAAAAATTTTATTAAATGTCTTGAAATTTTGACACAACGTTGTATTAGCATACAGCTAGGTTTTTATTACATTAATTTATTTAAAAAATAATTAATTAATTTAAAAAAAAAGGAAAACGAGATACATGTAAGTCCAGCGCCATTTGTTGGCTATAGATTTCAATAAGTGCGCGAAACATTTGAACATAACCTAATCGTTTGTTCCTAACTGCTAATCTGCAAAAGTATTTTATCGATTGTTTTGAAACTTTGACACAATGTTGCATTCGTATACGGCTAGGTTTTTATTACATTTATTTATTAAATAAATAATTAATTGATTTAAAAAAAAAAGGATAAAGATACAGGTAAGTCCAGCGCCATTTGTTGGCCATAGATTTCGGTGAGCGCGCGAAACATTTGAACATAACCTAAATTTTATCTATACTACAACGTCATATTTTGGCTCATATAAGCCACATTAATGTGTTCCGGGTAAGCTAGTATATAGTATATACATTTGTATATATGTAATTATACATGTATGCTAGATTATACCGTTTATACATAAATTATCATCAAAATTTATTTTGTCGAGTTAAAATCTATTCAGATTACTAAGTTATCAATAAATTTGAAATAATCTTGCCGACAGCCCGCATTGATGTATTTTCAGATTAATATTTTTCTATAGGGGTCCATTACTGTTCCCCATGGTGATCCATTACTTGGATTTGTCCTATCCATCTTTCAGTATTCCAAAAATCTCTGATATATCTTAAACATCTTGTTTTACATATTACATATTATTTACAATAAATTTTATTTGACGTTTAGCAAATTGTTTTATCATTTCTGATTTATTATCACATTAATGTCCAATCCATTTTATTATTTAATATTTTACAATTTGTTTGCTTTCATCTTTTGTTGAATTTATCATAAATTTTTATTGCTAATTGATTAGGATATTTTTCATATATTGTTTATGTTTTTTAGTTTTTTTTCGTTTATCCTTAATTTTGAAATTTCATTATGCATTTAGTGCAATTCTTACAATTTTGTGCTATGAGTACTTTTATTTTTGTTGTATGATTTTTATTAGAACATATATTTATATATGTTATTTTTATTAGAACATATATTTATATATGTTATTTTTATTAGAACATATATTTATATACATATATTTATATATATTTATATGTAGAACATATATTATATTCTACACCATAAATGTATGCCATTGGACCAAATAGATTTTATTATTAAATAGATTTTCAGTTTACCGTTTTAACAAAATTTATAGAACAGTTAGGATTTTGAAAAAAGGAGGAAATCTTAAATCGTACGTGTCTGTTAATATTTTAAAATTTGATTCATCTTACAATGTTCGGGCTCGTGTCATATTGTAAAGTTTATATATATACTAAGAATTTTCTTATTTCCCATAAGGTGTATTGATAGTTGCGGTCCCAACAGGTATACATATCAACGTACAAGGAAATATAAGAATAGAGAATGGAATGTGGAAGATTTGAAAATCCTCTGAGAAGGGAAGATTTGAAATCTCTCATGCGGCTCCTTGATCCTTTTGATATGGTGGCAACTGAGAAGCCTCACTAATACTTGTCCCTTAAAGAAATTTCGCGAGCTACAAACTTCTCTTCGTCTAGAAGAACAAATTTTTCTACATTTTCGTCTACTTCTTCGTCTACTTCTTTTATTTCTTTTTATGGTTTCCTTTCTTACTTTAAAGTTACTATACTTTTTCTCATCCTTTTTAAAAGCCCCCATGAAAGAGGGCTTATTCGTTTCTTCAGGATTTGGTATAAAAGTACTTTTTTTTCTTTCTATAACATTGTGTGTATACAATTTATATGCGTCTATCTTCTATGCGAATCTAACGACAAAAATTTATCAATTAAAATTTATTGTATGTTTCTATATATTCGTTTATATTATGTATATACATTATATGGACTGTAGTTCAAATGGTATGGGTGGATCAAAATTGTTAGGTTGGTTTTGAAAAATTAATTACACTTTTTTTTTTAGAGATGTTTTAGATTAGATTTGAAGATTAAGAAACTACAGATTTAAATTTAATTATATATAATGTAATAATATATTAATAAAAAAATTAAGTTGAGCATTAGATAATAAACATATATTATCGCATTAAACCGGCCGATTTCCGCACGCTCGAGTTAACTCGAGCGGCGTATTATTTTATATATCTATGATTTTTTACACTTAAACATAATAGAAAATGGAAAATGAGAGTGTGAAAACAAAGAAAAAGAATCTTTTTTTTTTCGAAAAATATTTTTTCCGAAATAGTAATTAGAAAAGAAAGATTAAAAAGTTGACGTACGTGTAACATTTGCAATATTCGGCTCTTCTCTGTAATGTGGAACAAAATCCAAAATTAACATAAAAATATTGATTATTTCTGTATTTTTTTAATTTTTTTGTCAAAACAATGTTCTAAACTATGTCTTTATGCAAAAAAAAAAATGATTTTTTTTTGCCGTTGTTTTTTTCTCAAAATCATTGCTGCTTAAGGGGTTAAGAAACGGAATTTCGATCTTTATTCGGTGAACATGTTGGACAAATGTTGAAAATTCCTCGTGGGTGGGAAATAGCGAGTCAGGTACATTTAAAGGGCCGTTTTGTAAATTGAAGTAATTCTGAACGAACAGCAGGTACGAGAATTCGTACAATGATCGATGCGAACGGACCAACCGCTTTCACATATACATATATATATATATATATATATATAGGTATATCTTTATTTCACAATTAGGTTGTTCGAATGGACCATCTAAGATGGTTCGTCCTCGTGCGAACTTTCTTACGAGACGAGTCCTACGCTCGGTTGAGCGTGTGAGTTGCTTACAATTGCTATCGAGGATATAAAAGGAGAAGAGCCTTGCTTCAGTGGTCCTACACCGGAAATCCTTTTATCGGGTCGGTGCGACGAAAAAGGGAAGAAGAAATAAGATAAAAAAAAAATATCATAAAAAGAAATCATAGGAATGAGAGAGAGAGAGAGAGAAACAAACAAAAAATCAGTACACTAAGGTACGCATCGTGGCATAAATTTTTCTAACCGACCTGTATTTAATTCAAGTTATAATTAACGATAAACAAAAAATTATAATAAAAAGAAATAATACGAATGGAAGAAGAAAAAAAGGGAGGTGGGATAAGGGACAAAAAAAAGGACGCAACTGTGGTGCAACTCTGTGCAATTTTTTTGTATATAATATATTATTATTTTAGTTGTTTAATATTTTTTTATAATGTATTACTTTTTTTTTTAATAATAGTGTAAAAAAAAATGCATAGGTTTATTGGTCAACTTAATATATATATATATATATATATAATTTAATTATTAATATAATAACATATATAATTTAATATATTATTTAATATTAATATATTCTATAATATATTATTATTAATATTTTATAATATTTTAATATATAACTATTATGAGAGATATATTATATAATATTAAATATAATATTATTTATTATTAATATTATATAATATATTATTATGTAGTAATTATATATTATTTAATAATATATTAAATAATATATATATAATATTATAATATATATTATAATATATATAAAAAATGTTTTATAAACAATTTACAAAAAAAAAAAATACAGTAAATAATATTTATTATTAATATTTCTACTGTTACTTTAAACTATCAATCATCTTTGTTTAAATAACCAGGGGCGGATTATTTTTATTATTTAAGAAAAAGAAAAATTGATTTCTCTATAACGTAAATGGAACAAATCTAGAAGTGCAAATATTTTTATTTGAAACAAATTGCGTAGATAATTTATAACATTTAAGTGATTTGAATTTGAACAAATTTATTTGCAGATTTTTACTATAAAAAAAAAAAAAAATACATAAAAGTTTTTATCAAAAATAAAAAAAAAATAAAAGCGGATAACACCTTTTCTTTTTTTTTTTCGTCATCCTTTCGTGAACAGCATAACACAAAATATTCAAAAAAAAAACACATTAATCCTTGAAGATGTTCAAAACGTATCGAATTATACAAAACCTTGACTTTCCAACCAGTTTTTCTTTTTTACATTTTTGTCATTTCCTTTTTAAATCTAAATCAAGGTAAACCTTTGCAAGGTAAAACTTTTCCCAAACATTTTTATTCTTGACAAAAGAAAATTTTAAAGTGACACTTTTTCTTTGAAAAAGAAAAAAAACGTTCATCAATCTTATTCACCTTCAAAGGTTCACGTAAAGGTTTAAAAATTCACGTAAAAATAAAAAAGAGTTAGAAAATTGTTTGTTCAGTTTCAAAGCTTATACCTCAAATGTCCTACCAGTTAGAGAAACTTCTTCGAAGGAAACTTGTTTCCTTTAGCAGGAAGCAGAACCCTTTCAAAAGATTATTATTCTCCTTTTATTCACGTTTCTCAAACAAATCCGGATACTGGACCATTTCTTTTTGCTTTAAACATTTTTTTAGGTCTTTTTCTTTGTTTGTTTTTATTTGGCTTACAGAAAATTCCATATAACTTTAACATATATATATATGTTAAAGTTATATTTAATTTTCCTATAATTATTTATTATATTATATATTTTTATATAATATAATATATTATTTATTAATATATTATAATATATTAATAAATAATATAATTTATTATTTATTAAACTTTATTATTTTTAAGTAATAAAATTGAAATAATATTTCCTAAAATATATTCCTTTTCTTTGACGTTTGTATTTGAATGTTGAATAAACAATCGAACCGTAAGATAAACAATGTCGAATATTGTATAGTGCAAATATTATAATTTGCAATATTAATAATAAATATTATAATTTATAATTATGAAAAAAAAAATTTGTATTTCACTATGCAAAAC